CCCCGAAGTTGCTAAAGAAAAAATAAAATTTTATTTAAAGATTCTTAATTTGTACGAAACATTAGTAATAATAAATCTATACGGTATAAAAAAATTTAAAGGCAAAAGACGCAGTACAGTATTTCTTTTGCACGTGTTCGGGATTCTATGTTGTGTGCACTTTGATTTGCTATTTCCTTTTTAGGAGTTTGTATTACTGGCACAAATAAGCAAGTTTATAAAATTAACACACGTAGTGGTAGCCCTTTTTAGTCTATTATTTATTTTCAACAAAAAAAAAAAATTTAAATTGTTTATCAACGTTAGTGTTAGATAATGTAAAAAAAATTTTTTTTTTAAATCAATCAATTAGATTATCGATTAGATCATTAAATAAAAAATATCGGATTTTCAAAAAATGAGTTATGATGACGGAAGTAGTCATGGAAAGGGTTAATACACATTTAAATTATTGATCTTATCTGATAATGATTTTGTAAAAAGACAAATTTTAAATCGCAATTACTAATACTTCATTTTAAAAGACGGGAGATGTGGAAATTGTGATCAAATTGCAACTAATCATGATTACTTGTATTTTAATTAGGAAACCGTCATTCCCAATCCGGTTCCGTATGGGAAGATGAAGACAATGCAAAAGATGAAATGTCATGGGATGATGTTGAAGAGGAAGACGGTGAAGATAAAAGTGATAGTGAATTTGATGAACCAGAAAGATATGAGGTTGAAAGTGTGATTTCACGTAAAGTTGAGAATGTACGTTTTTTTTTTTTTTTTAATATGCATTATCAGTAAACTTGTAGATATTGAAAGATATGCGTTTGTTTATGAAAAATTTTATTGTTTACAGGGCAAAGAAAAATTCTTGATTCAATGGAAAGGATATTCGAAACCAACGTGAGTTTCATTTTGTTAGAACACCTTTTTTAAGTTAATCACAATAATTCTAATTTAAAATTCTAACATAAAAAATTGTCCAGTTGGGAACCACGCGAAAACTTAGACGATTGTGCCATTCTCCTTGATTCATTTTACAAAGTAGCCAAAGATACTGAACCTGAAACAAGTACACCTACAGGTGTTCCGACTGACGATGATTTCAAACAAAAATTATTGGAAGCTCATCAATCTAGTATGCATTTAAATATCGAACTTTATGATAAGCTTATCCTAAAACGTGGTATTAAGGATACTGGTGACATTGGTCCAAAAATTGAAAATGTTCCTATGGTTTCTTTTGGCGGGCTAACCAGACAGAATAGTACTAGTTCTAGTAATTCTAGAGGTGTATGAGTATATGTATATGTTTAAAATTTTTAGAAAGTTGTGAATTTTAATGATATGCGTTCATTTTGTTTTACTTTGTTATAGATATTTTATATCTTATTTCCCAAAGATTTCCGTCGTTTTTGTTGCTTACTTCATTTGATCATAATAAAGGTTTTGGTGAAATTAAAAATGTCTTTATATAGGAATTCCATATGTTATTGGCGAAAGTAGATTGATATTTTGAGCTGTGATGTTAAAGCATCACAGCGTCGGGAATTTTGGTTCGTAAAAATGTCGACATCAGGGATGATTAAAATGTACAAAAGGTCGCAAGATGATGTGTATTATCAGAATTTTTATCGTATTCTTATGTACGTACTGTACGTACGTGCCGTTATTATGTTTTGTGCGCTTTGTGCAGTATAAAATAAACAAAATCTTTGCATTACCAATTTAATTGAGTTTATATCAAAAGGAAAATTAAGTCTTATAAGTGCAAACACTGCAATAATCTGAGCTCTCTATGATGATCTTTCTGGAGTCAAATCAACGGTGGCCATTTATGATGCGTTAAAGTGTTATACCTGTAAACTAATCATTAAAAAGAACAGGCCTTTGCACACAATTTTATTCTTCAATGGCTGTAAATCATTTAGCAAAGTGAAAGCTTAACCATCACGAAATATATGAGCTACATTACATCTAGGGTTGGAAGGTTGTAACTTACATACTTACCTTACATGTAAGTTACATATAAATTACATTCAAAATTTTTTGATG